TTATGAAATACATTGTATTTCTATCAATAAAATATAGTAAAGCAGTCTTGTTTTGGAAGTTTTTTACATAGTACACTTTTTGTTCATTTTTTGTGGGTATACATATATATTTTATTGATTTCAGAGAGGAAGGGTGAGGGAGAGATAGATAGAAACATTAATGATGAGAGAGAGAATCATTGATCACCTATTGGGGATTGAGCCCCCAACCCTGGACATGTGCCCTGACCAGGAATTGAACCATGACCACCTGGTTCATAGCTGGATGCTCAACCACTGAGCCACACCAGCCAGGCACATAGTACATTTTTAAAAAAAGAATAGCCCTAGCTGGTTTTGCTCAGTGGATAGAGTGTCGGCCTGTGGACTGAAGGGTCCTGGGTTCAGTTCCATGGGCTCGATCCCCCATAAGGGGGCGTGCAAGAGGCAGTTGATCATCATTGATGTTTCTCTCTCCCTCTACCTTCCTCTCTGAAATCAATAAAGAAATACATATTTTTTAAAAATAAACTATATTAAAGGTTATAAAAATGAAAAAAAAGAATAGTAACATTTCCTCCATGATTCACAGGCCTAGGCATTGGAGATCCCAATAATTTCATTATTTTTAGCAATTATTTCATTTAAAGAATAATATTACCATAACCAATTATTTCAGATATTAACATAGGTCTATTTCTTAAAATCTTTGTTTTGGTATTTATGTGCCCATGTTAAAATAATGTGTTTTTCCAGAAATATATTTGATACTTTGGATTGAGAATGTTTGAGAGCATAGGTAAGCATTCGTTAAAGTATGGAAATGTTCACTTCCTAACTTTACAATTTCTTTTATCAACCATTCTACATTTCTAAGAAAAAAATAATTTATTTTAGGCATTTTTTAAAATATACATTTTATTGAGAAAGGAAGGGAGAGAGAGAAACATCAATGATGAGAATCATTGATCAACTGCCCTCTTCAGGCCCCTAGTGAGGATCAAGCCCACAACCCAGGCATGTGCCCTAGACCAGAATTGAACCTGGGACCCTTCAGTCCGCAGGCCAAGACTCTATCCACTGAGCCAAACAAGTTCAGACCATTCTATGCATTTTTATGCACTGCTTCATAAACATGTATCATGACATCTTTAATCTTTTGTGATTTTCATCTTAGAGCTGTAGTTCTTTGAAATAATGTACTCATTCATTGTTTTTTTATTTTTGTTTGTTTTTCTTCATTTGTTTGTAATGAACTACCTGTTACTGAAATTTTGCTGGTTTCATTATTCCTAGGATCTGTAAAGATGGGAAATAGGTATATACCTGTGTACTCTCATTTCTGAAGACAGTAGGAATCCATATATTTTCTGGATTCTACATCCCAAGTATATTAAACCAATGGGAAAAAACTGTAAAAGTTTAAAATTGCCATCTATTTTAATATATTCATTTCTAAAACTGAGATTCCTGTGTCTTCTGTGCCTCCCACTCTTCCACAGTACCCTTTCCCCCAAAGTAGTGATCTTTCCCATAAGCACATTATTTGTAACTGAGGTACTTACAGTTTTCACCTTATAATTGTTTCTATACAGCTTTTATCTTCCTTTTGGGAATTTTAGTTCTATAATAAAGGTCCTTTATTTCATTTTTAAAAATATTTTTATTGATTTCAGAAAGGAAGGAAGAAGGAGAGAGAGAGAGAAACATCAATGATGATAGAGAATCATTGATCTGTTGCCTCCTGCACGCGCCATACTGGGGATCAAACTGACAACCTGGCATGTGCCCTGATGGGGAATCGAACCATGACCTCCTGGTTCATGGATCAATGCTCAAACACAGCCATGCCGGCGGAGCCAAAGCCCCTTAATTTCTTAGCTTTGAAATTCCTCCTTGGGATTGTACCATTAATTGTCAATTGTACAGATTTACTCTTAATGTCTTTTTTATAGTAAAATTCTGTCTTGTTGAATTTGGATTACTTAGGAGTTTGTTTTAATTCTTTATTATTGAAAATATTACATATGTCCCCTTGTTTCCCCCATTGACTGCCTCCAGCCTGCCCCTGCCCCTGCCCCCAGCCCCAGGTCTTCACAACCCTATTGTCTGTGTCCATGGGTTATGCATAGGTACATACAAGGTCTTTAGTTGATTACTTCCCACCCACCCACCCTCCTTGCTTCCCTCCAAGACTCCACACACTGTTCCATGCTTGCTTATGAGAAGTTTTTCATCATTGAATAATATAAAAAATAAGATCTCTGATTGAAATAGAACTTTATAACTAGCTGTAAAGTGGCAGACACCTGGTGGCTGAGGTTAACAAATGGAGCCCACTGTTAGGGTTGAGTTGTGTGCTCCAGAAAGATCTTGAAGTCCTAATCCCCACTACCTGCGAGTGTGACCTTATTTGGAAATAAAGTCTTTGCAGATGTAATCAAATTAAGATGAGGTCATCGGGGTGGGCCCTAATCCAATAAAACTGGTGTCCATATAAGAAGAGGAAAATGCCCCGTATGGCAGAGATACTCAAGGAGAAAGCATGTAACAACCGAGGTAGGGATTGGAGTTACGCAGCTGCAATCCAAGGAATACCACGTATTGTGGTGCCATCGAAAAGCTAAGAGACACAACCGTAGAACAGATTCTTCAAGAGAGCCTTTGAGAGCATGACTGTCTACGCCTTGATTTCAAGCTTCTAGCCTCCAGAACAGGGAGACGATCCATGTTGGTTATTTTAAGTCACCCAGTTTGTGATACTCTGTGATGGCAGCCCTAGGAAACTTAATAACCCTTCATAACTCACTAGGAAATTATCAAACCTGAGGAGAGGGTTGTAGGAAATCTTGATTTATAGTCCAGTGGGTTAATCAGAAGGGCAAAGACCTGGACTTCGGATTAGCATCTCACAGATCATCCACTTTAGACAAGTTGGCCACTGTCCAACTTAAAACACCAAACATCCTCTCTTACTAAATGAATGTCTTTTACTTTACTAATTTCAGCTTTATGCCTGAAATGAGTAATCAAGCAAACTTGTTCAATTACAGGTGATTTTTTGGTCTGGTCAAAGGCAATATCAGGGTTAAGAGATGCAAGGAGAGGACTCCTGGTAGGCGGTTGGGAGAGGGATGACTTGTTTCAAAGGGGAACAGAGAAATAGGATGGCAGCCTGCAGGGAAACTAGGTCAAAATTTTTGTTTTAAGATAGAGAACTAACAGCATGTTTGTATGTTGAAGGGAGAGAGAGAGAGAGAGAGAGAGAGAGAGAGAGAGAGAGAGAGAAAGAGAAATCGGTAGTTAAGTGGGAGGAAAGCTGGGGGATAACACACAAAGGTATAGGAACTAGGGCTTCAGGTAGGAGCATGGATAGTTCACGTGTGTTGTGTAGTGAGTGAGATCCTGGAATGTGCTTGGATGTGGTGGTGTGAAATCCAGGTGTGTGGACTTCTCTGATTACTTCAGAATTCTTTTTTTTTTTTTTTTTTATTGTTTCAGAATTATTATTGAAGAGAGAAGGCAGAAATCCTGCCTCCTGTAGGTACCTAAAAGCCCATCTGAATGTTCACATCTCAGTTGTTTTGTGCTTCTGTTTCAAAAAGCCTCATCCTTATCAGAATATTAACTTCCTAATAACTATCCAACTGGGTGGATAGATCCCAAATATCGTTAGAAAACTGGATTACGTATGTACTGGTCGTAAAGATCTGACTACAGAAAGAAAAACTTCTCACTGTATATTCTTCAGGGGATATTCCTCTACCTACCCCTTCCCCAGAACAGGCCCTATAAAGAAAGCAAGAAAAAGTAAAATAAACAGAAAAGGAAGACACATTTTCTTCGAAATCCTCCAGCCTCCCCAGCTGCTTTTACAAGAGATCTTTTTTTAAAAATTGTTTTACTAAAAAAAAAAAAAAAAAAAAAATTGTTTTACTGCTTAAAGTATTACAAAGAGTATTACATATGTCTCCTTTTTTCCCCGCTACATGAGATCTTTAAGTCTTGGAAAAGGTGCCAAAATCAGTGCTCGTATTTTGTTCTGGTAGAAGCAAAAATTGCCCTCTACCAGTAACTAATAATAAGACGAAAATAGTAACAGAAAACGAGTCTCAACTTTAAACTGGACTTTCAGTTTCCTGTGCCTTAAGGAGGAAGTTGGGAAGAGACCAAAGAAAGGAAGAGGAACGTGCGCTTTCAAGTGCGCAAGCGCGGTCTGAGACATGTTTCGTTTGCAAAATAAACTTTTTTCCGGAGATCTGGTTAATGTTGAAAATAATTAGGTTCCAAGATTCCCTATTTGGTTATAATGCTTTGGAGAAACCTTAAAACAAAATTCCCTAAGGAAACACAAAACAACCGCCCAACGTGGGGCTCGAACCCACGACCCTGGGATTAAGAGTCCCATGCTCTACCGACTGAGCTAGCCGGGCGCACATAAACCTGCGCCGTTTTTCTCCTCCTTGATCATTATTCAGCTACATTACGTTTTGTTCTACCTATTTACCAAAAACTTGTATCATATTATTAAATATGCACTTCTCGATTATTTTCAAGAATTCTTTAAAACATTTCTTTAATTGAACTGGAATTTAATAATTTCTTTTGCGTGTATATATCAAGATCACTGAAAACTTATGCAAATCTTTATAATTACAGGTTCATTCATTGAATCTTTTCTCTGATGTGTTTTAAAATACTGCTTAATATGTTATCTTTAAAAAACACGCATCAAGGCTATCAAATGACATACTGGATTCCTACAACGTGGGAGGCAACATTAAAAAACAAAGTTCAGTCAGTCCGCACACGCCCGGACCACCGCCACATCGAGGCGCATGGGAACCATACAGAATTGATTAGCATAGCTCCTGCGCAAGGACAGGTAAATTCTTGAAGCTTTCCATATTAAAAAAACACACACAACCCCCCCCTCCCCAAAAAACACACACACACACACACAAAACACAGTTTAACCACTAAAAGGTTACCTACACTGAAAAAAAACACACACAGCAGAGTTAGATCTTTTCCTTTAATATGATCTAGTCAAGGAAAGTTAAATTGAGGAAGGGGCTTCTGGTTCACTTAAAATGAGGCCTCTTTCCGGTAACCGCCGCACAGTTGAGAGATGCGACCCTCAGAGGCACCAGCTCAAGTAACAGAAGCTGGGGGGAAAGAATTAGTCATTGAATCGTATGGTAAAGAATGTTAATCCTAAGAGGAAAGAAGAAAAACGGATTTTAATCAAATTATGACATGAGGAGACAATGGAATTATTAAACAACTAATTCTATTAAGCGATTATTTCCAGATTAAAGGAGCCTAAAGACCTGTAACTGAATGCAATGTGTGGTGTTGGATTTTTGTGTGGGTGTGTGTGAAGGGCATTACTGAATTGCCAAAATCTAAAAAGTCTGTATATTAGACAATAGTATTGTTAATTTTCTGATTTCCGTAATTGTATTGTGACTATGTAAAATACTATTGTTTGGGGAAAATACACACTGAGGCATTTAATAGTTTAAAAAGTGCTAATGGTCCTGCTTTAATAATAAGACTCAAATCTAAACCACTACAAGATCTGGTTCCATGTCCACCTCTGATCTTCCTGCCGGCTCCCCCACTTAATCACTGACAGGCCAGGCTGCCCTGATCGTTCCTGTAAAATGCCAAACTCATATTCCTTTAACAATCCCACGTTTCCGTTTAAATATCACCCATTCCGAAAGTCTTGCTGTAAGTACCTCCATGGTCTCTTCTACCTTCTTACCATAAGGTCCAACTATTTCGCCTATTTACTCTTTATTGCCTATTTCGTTACATTGTATGCAAATTCCATGAGGGTTGAGGTTAGGTCTACTCCACCTTTTTATCACCCATGTTCAGCAGAGTACTTGGAATATATTAGATCTCCACAAACATCTTTAATCAGTTTTATCCTTAATTCCACTAAATAGTTCTTTTCACAAAAAGGGTGCTAAAGCTTCTGTAAAATGCCTGAGCTCAAAGGTGAGATACCTTTAGAGTGCAACTTCCACTGTCGTGAGGATAGGCGGGTTGATGGGGATGCCCTCAAAACAATGGGTCAGAACCGGGACGCCGAGTGTGGAGGGAGAATCTCCTCTATCGCTTTCTTTGGTCTTGGTAAGAACATCTCTGCTTTGCTCTAAGAAAGAATAAAGTATCAAGCTAGAGGGATAGTATAAAAGGTAAATAGTTCCTAGGAAGTGGAATAGAGCAGCATCTCAAACAACCCGATGACTCAACCTCACGCTCGACAGAAACTGAAGAGGAAGAACCCCTACCTGGCCCTGGCCTAACCCCACCTTCCTCGTTTCTGCTACTGCGCACCGCCCTTCCTTGGTTGTCTCCCTCCTTTTCCTTTCCCACAATCCTCTGTTCCCGGAGCTAAACACCGAGGAACGAACCACAGAGAAGGCTATTGGTTGAGAGATCAGCCAATGAGAGAGCCTGTTACTAGTGTGCGTGCTGCGGTGTAGCGGGAGCGCTTTCGGCCCTGAGACCCTACACGTTCCGCTGGTTTTTAGCAGGATGAGCTCGATCGGCACCGGGGTGAGTTCGTTATCTCTCGGTGTGATAGTCTAGTCGGAGGATTCGCGTTGAAGGGAGCTCGGGCCGGCCGCTTAGGGTGCGCCAGCTCGGGGTGCACTGGGGACTGCTCTCGGCCAAGAGGGCCGCTTCCAGTGGTCCCTCCGACACGCGTATTTCTAGGCCGGGGCCTGCGGTGACGGGGACCTGAGGCTCTGCAGCTCAGGTGTGGCGGGCCTGGCGGCGCCGCCGTGAGATGGAGCCGCTGGGGATTGCTGAGTCACGTTCTTGATCCTCTCCGGGAAACCGAAAGTGGAAACTCGTGGGGCCTGAGACACAGTGGGGAGGGCTGGGCGTCAGCCCCTCCTGGGAACCGCCGAGCCCGGGCGGCTGAGGGTCCGAGGTCTGAGACGCGCTTTCCGCGGGCGGCTTCGTGCAGTGGCCCGGGTGCTGCTGACTCACGGGGCCTTCTCCATCTTCCCCCGTGGGGAGTGATCGCTCCGTGTGCTTCTTTGGAAACTACCCGGACAGAACTAATAAGAAAAATGGTCTCAAAAGTGAAATCTGAAGAATCCTTTATTTCTTCCTGTGTCCCAGCGTTTCCTGTACAGAGTACCTAGCAAACTACTGCAGACATTGAAATTATTAGCTAGGGACCTAGCCGCTTCTGACTTTGCATAGACAAGACTGTTGAGGATTTTGGAGTTGGACTTGTTCGGCTAATTTCCTTTGTTAAACGTACTGCATATATGCAATCTTTTGCTTACCCCTTTTATGTATTTATCCATATAGAAAATAATAGTTTTGTTTAGAAATATAGATTGGTTGTTTGCATGAAGGCGTTGAATAATGGGTTTCTGAGAGTTCACAGGATTTGGATACTCAGCATTAAGCCCAAGTACTGGGTTTCCGAGTTTGATAATAGGCAGCTTATGTTTGGAATGGTTTATTCCATTTGGTTATGTGATGCTAGTTTGTCATGTTTTTTTGTTTGTTTTTAGGAATAGTAGTTGCTTAGTAATGTAGCAAATTGACTTTGCAACTGCGTTAATATTACTTTCGATTGATAGTGTTTCATTCTCCAAACCCTGTAAAAACACTTGTTAATATAACCTTTCGTTGTTATAGTGGTAGAGTTAAGAATCTTCAGGAAGCACCTCTGTGGAGGCCTGTCTCCTGTTACCACTTCTAGTAAGACCTGTCTACTTGACATTTCTCTCCACCTGATGGTTTAACAGGCATTTCTGGGTTTTCTTGCCCTTTTGCATCTCTTACAATCTTTTTTTTTTTTTTTTTTTAATATATTTTATTGATTTTTTACAGAGAGGAAGGGAGAGAGATAGAGAGTTAGAAACATCGATGGGAGAGAAACATCGATCAGCTGCCTCCTGCACATCTCCCACTGGGGATGTGCCCGCAGCCCAGGTACATGCCCTTGACCGGAATCGAACCTGGGACCCTTCAGTCCGCAGGCCGATGCTCTATCCACTGAGCCAAACCGGTTTCGGCATCTCTTACAATCTTGTCTTCAGTGAACAGTCCAGTTCTAGTTGCTCAAGTGAAAAAAGAAAAAAAAGTATGATTCACCTGTAATTTCTTTTTTGCTTCCTATTTGCATCCCCTACAATCTGCAGCTAAGTGAGTGGTCCAGCTCTAGTTGCTCAAATGAAAAAAATCTGACTCACCTTTAATTTCTTTTTCACTTTACTCCTAGAGCCAATGCATTAGCAGAGTTTTGTTGTGGGGGGAAGGGAGGAGGTTCTCTACCCTCAAAAGATACTGCTTTTCATCTTTTTTTCTCTAGTCGAAGTACCACCTTTGGAATACCTGATCTCTGCTTCCACTCTTGTTCCCACTGCAATTCATTCTTCAGATGAATGATGTTTTTTTAAAAAATTAGGTTATATCAGCCCCCCCCCCCCCCTTTACATTCCAATGACTTCCTATTGCATTTAGAGTAAAATATAAACTTCTTACTCCAGCCTGGAAGGCAGCATAGTTTATCCCCACATATCTCTGATAGTTTTCTCTCTGCCACTTAACAGTGCTCAAGACGCAGTGGCCTTGTTTCTTTTCCTGGGTTGTGCTAGGCTTATTTCCACCTGCAGGTCTTTAGGCCAAAAGCCAGGATGGCTCCTCCATATCCTGAATGGCTAGTTCAGGGGTGGGCAAACTTTTTGACTCGAGGGCCACAATGGGTTCTTAAACTGGACCGGAGGGCCGGAACAAAAGCATGGATGGAGTGTTTGTGTGAACTGATATAAATTCAAAGTAAACATCATTACATAAAAGGGTACGGTCTTTTTTTTTTTTAGTTTTATTCATTTCAAACGGGCCGGATTCAGCCCGCAGGCTGTAGTTTGCACACGGCTGGCTACTGTGGGACTCAGTCTAAATAACTAAATAGAGCTAACTGCCCCAGCAAGACCTTTCCTGACCAGGTAGTCTGTAATAGTTGCTCCTATCATTTCAATCTGTTTTATTTTCATTATAGTACTTTTTTAAAAAAACATGTTTGTATTGATTTTAAAGAAAGGGAGAGAAAAAAAAAAAAAACATTGACGAGAGAGAGAGAGAGAGAGAGAGAGAGAGAGAGAGAGAGAGAGAGAGAGAAAGAGAGAAAGAGAAAGAAAGATCTGTTGTCTCCCGTATTCACCTGGGCATGTGCCCTGACCAGGAATGGAACCGGAGACCTTTTGGTGCATGGGACAACGGTCAACCAATTGAGCCACACTGGCCAGGGCTCATTATAGTCCTTTTTCTCGGTTACTGCTGTATCTCCAACATCAGATTTGTGCCCGGTTCTGATTTGAAATGAAGGCGTTAAAGAATGAGTATTCTCTTAATATTCCCTTATAATGACTAACATGTTTATTACATGTTTTAATGCTAAATGATTTGTCTAAGGCTCCTCAGTTTGTTTAGTGCCACAGTTACGAATTAGAATGTTCTGACTTCAGTGTTATTTCTGCCATACCATAGTAATTACAAAATTGAGTTTTGTGTTTTATTGGAAAAAAGTTGCTTTTATCTGGGCCTTCTATCTATTACTTCCCAGTAGCAGAAATCTAAAGCATATAACTTTTGCCTTAGCTTCTGATGCTGCTCTGACATGCTAAAGTCTTTGTTGAGAGTTAACACACATTTCTGATGTATTAGCCATTTTAGAAAAAAAGTTGTAAGGTTATTATTGCCAAAGATACATAACTATAGGCTTATTGTTGCCTTTTTCCTCCCAGTATGACCTGTCAGCCTCTACATTCTCTCCTGACGGAAGGGTTTTTCAAGTTGAATATGCTATGAAGGCTGTGGAAAACAGTAGGTAAGAAACATTGCTTTACTTGAAATTAGCATATTATTAAATATCTCCTTTTCTATATTTTTGGTACTTAGCCTTTGTTATGTTACTTTGGTACAAAACATGTGTCCTAAAATAATCTCAATTTATTAGTCATTTTCAGATCTTTTTTTAGGCCAGATCATTTCATGAGTCTCAGTCCTGTATTTCGATTTGGACATTTTACCATGTCTCAAATGTAGTGTATAAAACCAAATTCATTATCATCTTTGCTAGCCCATTTCTTTTTTCTTTTAGATATATTTTATTGATTTTTTACAGAGAGGAAGGGAGAAGGATAGAGAGTTAGAAACATCGATGCAAAACATCTGATCAGCTGCCTCCTGCACACTCCCTACTAGGATGTGCCCGCAACCCAGGTACATGCCCTTGACCATTATTGAACCTGGGACCCTTCAGTCTGCAGGCTGATGCTCTATCCACTGAGCCAAACCAGTTAGGGCTAGCCCATTTCTTTTTAAAATTCATGGTTTATCTCATTGTTTTCTTTGGCCATTAGGTTTTTTAGGTTTTAACTTGTATTTCTTTTTTTTTAAATGTCCTATGCCATTAGTCATGTGTTCCTGTCTGCAGGGATTTAAAAAATTCTGCTGCTGCCACACTCCAAAAGGTGTAGGATCACTAAGATGCTTTTCCTGTTGGACTCACTTCCTTTACTTTCTCTCTTATTGTTTAGAATAAGGCATTAAAATGATCCTGTGGCAAATTTTATGAGTCTTTTATTGAAGAACTTGCATCAGTTATAGTTACATGTTAATTGTATTTTTGAATCTGAAGAAGCTTTGGGATGAATTAAAGGACTTTTAAAAATGAATTTGTATTATAGCATTTCACTCAGATCTCAAAGAAATTTTTCAGGCCTACTAAACAAATGGTGTTGGTGTTTAAGCTCAGTTATTTAAAATAATAATGAGCCCTAGGTAGTTTGGCTCAGTGGATAGAGTGTCATCCTGCAGACTGAAGGTACCGGGTTCGATTCCTGTCAAGGGCACATGCCCGGGTTGTGGGCTTAATCCCCAGTGTGGGACGTGCAAGAGGCAGCCAATCAATGATTTTTCTATCATTATTGATGTTTCTACCTCTCTCTCCCTCTCCCTTCCTCTCTGAAATCAATACAAAAATATATAAAAAAATAAAATAATAATGAAAGCTTTTGGAGTAGAGGTGGAGTAGGGAAATGTTTGTAGAGTTTTAGAAAAATCCATATGCAAATAGTGAGTTATTCAAATTTGTACTAGTATCTTTAATTCTGGTATATGATTATGGAGACTGTTATTTGTCTTTGCATGTGCTAGCGCTCAGTAGTTATTCCTGAGTGCTAGAAAGAAAGTATGTGGATTTCTAATGGTTTATGAAATATTAAAAATTTTTTGAGCAAAAATACATTTTGAGTCCTATTATAGGATTTGAAACAAAGTTAATTTATTTTGTGTTTAAATGTTGTATT